GAGATATCAAACAGGCTGTTTGGAGTGCAAAACCGACCAACAACAACGATCTTTGGCACGTAGTTGAACGTGCATGGTATGCCATACCAACTGAGAAATGCAAAAATCTGGTGGATTCGATGCATCGCCGTTGTGGTGCGGTTATAGCCAACAAAGGATTCTCTACTAAATATTAACTAAATCTATGACTTTATGTTTTTTATGTAAATACTTAATATTAATGAATTTTTGAATTTTGTTGATCAAAATCCAATTTAAGTTTGTACATCATATCGTACTGCTATTATTTTGGCTATTTCATGTTCAAATAATTCCAAAATAACTGTAAATAACATTTAAACCCCGAATTTATTTGAGTTTTGAGTTTAAGTATTGTATTCTGCAATAAATGAAGTTTATTTAAAAAATAAAGAATCACAAAAATGTGTCGGAAAAATATTTCTATTTTGCCTCGCATGTTTTAATGTCTAGCACTGCTATTATTTTGACCGCAGTTGTATCGTCACCTGAAATGCAAAAAGAGGTAACAACATTGTAAATTAAATGGAAAAGGTCGTGACTAATATTTAATTTTTTTCATAAAATGATGTGGGGAGTTGTAATTCGAATCCATCATGTAAATCAAAAGGTGAATTTTGAATTTTTTATTAGTTATGACATTTTGCATTTCAATGATGATGTTTGTTACGTCTTTTTGCATTTCAGGCGACGATATGTACATACAGGCAATTTTTTCACACAAAGTGGTTATTCTACAAACATACAAACTTCCATACATACATAAATAATTTACCCTCCAGACGAACGCTCGCGATCGTTCAAAAATTCAATCTTCGCAATACGAGTAACTGATTGAGTTTCACAAAAAACGCTCGCAACCAACGAACGATCGCGAAAGATCGAACGACCGACGCTTGCAGCGAAATCTTCTCTCTCGTAATTTTAACGAACACTGATTTTGCTCGTAAGAGATCGTAAATGCTTCTGCTCGCAGCGCTACGTTATCAATCGCGAAAAATTGCAAGCACTCAATTTTTGGCCGCGATTGTTTGCGAAAAAGATCGTATTTTGATCGTTCTCCGCACCCTGGTTAAAATGTTCTCCGAAAATATCTCCCATGAAATTCTATTATATATGTCTTAACCTTTAATTTCGCTGACATTTATTTTAACTAGTTTTTAGACTTTTTTGAAAACTACTTAGGCCGAGACATGAAAACTTAAGTAGGCCATAAAATAAAAATACGAGCTAACCTTTGCAAATCCACGGAGTGTTTTATTACTGGATGGGTAAAATGTTAACAAAGTCCGGGCTGGTTTCGGCTGTCCCACAGTGTAATTTGAGTTTAAATTTTTAGACAGGTGGCCACTCACTTCAAGCACCTCAAAAATTTTTTAATTATTGCATAGTATTTTAAGCACAACACTTCTTTAACTAAATTCGACTTTTCAAACAGGTGGCACCCCTCCTAAATGTAATTAAAAAATAAAGTTTATTAAAAACCATTTCGATTGATACCCATATTGGGGTAATTTATTTAACTTATTAAATAATTTGATTTTGATTTTCTTACATATGGCAGAAAACTAAAACCATATTACACATCTACAGGGCGAACCCTTTCGTTTGACACCTACCTCCTATTTGAAAATCGAACGAAAGATACAGATTTTATGACTTGATGTTAAATATTTAACGCAATCATCTCCGAACTCGATTAAGAAGTTTAAATTAAAAACAAATTTTGG